TTTTGATATGATGGACAGTATGTAACTCTACTAGTAAGTTCCTAATGCTATGTTCCAAGCTGATATAATAGTGGTGCTGAAAATAAGGGGAAAATACTTGAATTCAAAATTATCAATAAATTTAATTTATACAGTGAAACCTTGGTGTGTGAGCATAATTTCTTCCAGAAACATGCTTGTAATCCAAAGAACTTGTATATTAAAGCAAATTTCCCTATAAGAAACCTTGAGAAACACAATGCTAGTTTTCTTTTCACCTGAAGAGATATACTTTATAAATCTCTGAAAGGTACACAGAAAGGAAGAAAGAAAGCAGAACAGAGAAAAGCAAGATGAGGAAAAGAAGGGGATAGTTCAAGATGAAGGAGAAAAGGAAAAGGAGAGAAGAAACATCAAGGCAATAGCTGTGGGATGGCATCTGCTTTAATAAATCAGCGTGTTACAATAACAGCTGCCCACAAACTTGAACCCACACATGCACAGGGGGAGTAGGTAGGAAGGCAGTGTTAGTACCTACAATTGTGGTTGCTGCCTCCTGGAGGCCAAATGACATTACAGGAGGTTCAGCAAACCTGGGGACCATGTCCAAACAGCTCACAAAACCACATAGTAAACTTAGATTCTTCCAACATTGAAATGAGACTGCATTGGATATTCCTGAGCAGAAAAGAAAGTTGACGGGAAGTGTTAAATAAAACTGTGGTGACCAGTATGTGAAGCCACTTGAAGCACGACCACCAAGGCACATGTTTACTCTTCTATATTAGAAAGTAGATGCAAACTATCTCCAACTTCATCACCAGTTTTGAACTTTGTAACCCCTGGTGCGGTATTTAATACATCCAATCTCTCTGAATCTGATTTCTCCTGCCTCAGGAAGAGAGCTAACAGCATGTCTCATTCTACGCTGGTAACAAGTAGGTAAACTGAGGTAAATAAACTGATGGATATGTGCAAATGCTTAACAAATGTCTCTTTTTTTCATGTATTCTCTTCACACACAATGTACGTACAGGGAGAGCCAAAAGCCCCTGGGAATCCTGAAAATAAGGCCATTCTCCTGATCATTCATTCATGCATTTATCCATGTGCTGAACAAATACTTCATGAGGATCTAATACTAGGCTGGACTCTATACATAGGGTGATTTAGCATACGTTGCCTATTTAGCTATCTTCCCACTTCCTCTAGGAAAACAAAATTTCTGTATTGATGCTATATCTGGCAATCACAAGTGCTTGTTGAATATTTGCCATGGTTGAACACTATGCTAACTCAGATAAAGAGAATAAGACCAGTGGCTAAAATTATTAGAGAACTTATACAGGTCAGGCACTCCCTCCAGCACTATATGCGGGTTAGCACATTGAATCTTCGAAAAAGAAAATATATGAAGTTTCTGTATTATTAGCATCAGACTTACTTTACAAATGGGGAAACAGAGTCATGGAAAAGTTAAGGCATTAGTCCATGCTCATGGCAATAGGAGTAATAGTCCTAGATTTTGAATCCTGGAAGTCTAATTCTACCAAAAACTAAATGCTTAGGTATGGAGGCGGTGGGGAAGTGCATTTCTTTCAGTTGTTTTGATTTCAGCGGCTCTCCAGACAGAGAAAAGGAGACTTTTTCTTTTTTTGTCCGTTCCTTGTCTCCAGATTGTCTAGATGGCAACTGGAAAATAATTCAATTCTCTGTAAATCTTCAATGAATTATGTAAAGGCAAGAAAACCCTAGATGGCAGGAAGAACTTGTGCAAGCTTCTGACAAGTTCCAGGCTGAGAGATGGGGGTGGGGGTGAGGGATGGATTCTGAAAAGCCTTCGTCGATCAATCTAGCCTGCCTGACCCAGGATGGTGTCTTGAGTCTCCCAAGTAACTAAGTGCATACATTCAAATCACTGTAACTGCTACTCTAACTTCATGGAGCAATGATATCAAGAAAGACTCACATTGTATTTAAGGACTCTTGAAAGATCTGGAGGCACGATGCCAGCACATAGAATCTGCTCGATGGATAGATCTGTAAATACATCAATGACTTGCCCTCCCCTGGTAAAAGAGCTAGCATTTAGAAAACTAATTGCGGGATTGACATCCCAGAATCATATTCTTCTAGGAAGTTTGGGGTTAAGTACACCTTCTTATAAGCAGAACCATCTTGAGCATTCCCTCTGAGGTGAGGCATTTACCTCATTTTCCCCAAGGAAGACTCATAGCATGATGAAGAAGATGGTTACTGGGAGTGAACCATACACTTTCTAGGAGGCTGGAACAAGCCCCTCCAAGTTTGGGGAGGATTTGGACACAGCCACATACACCCATATTCTGACAGAGTTGCATCCATTATGAAAAAGAGTGTGTGCTGAGAATTGACTATGCTGTTGGCTGTTGCTAGGGTAAACCTCCAACCAATACTTTCTGAGCCTTCCAGACACCTTGCACATGAGGGAGGAGAAAAGCCATGCCAATTACCTTATTTACAGAGATTCTGGTCACAACTAACAAAGGCTCATGTGTTCTCCCTGTGTGACGAGGCCAGAATAGGAAATCATTTTAACCTGTCCCCTGAACCACAAGAGATCCCTCTGGGGAGGACATGTTGATGCCAGGTGGCCAGCAGCAGGCCTAGGGCTATTTACGCACAAACTGTTCAGAACTCAATCGTTATACCTCCTTGTGAAATGAAGTACGGACACTTGCTCTCTCCTTTCATAGACTGAAAGTTGAAGGGTTGCTGGAACTCATCAGTTTCAACATCTCATATGACAAATGAGGAAACATCTCGTATTGCAGATGAAGAAACAGTCCCATTGAAGGGGCAAGATTTGTGGAAGTTGGGGACCAAGCTGGGACTTGGTCACCACTGTCAGACGGACTTCCTATCTCTACTCCTTACCACCCATTGTTTCTTATCTACTCTATTTTTTGTCTCATATCCTTCTCTCTGTTTGACACTTTCCTTCTCTCCCACTCTCTCTTTATGTCTCTCTCTCTCTTTCTTCTACAGAATTGAGTAAAACAAAAATGGAGTGCACTGGGAGCTAGTGTCTCCTAGCCTGGAACAGAACTCCTAGCCTAGAAAGTCACAGATATTGGGCCCTTTTTGGGAGGTGGAGAAAATGGAATCAAGAAAGACTTACTTCCATAGTCAAGTGCTCCTGGTCTCTTCTCCTGGGCCTTAATAATGATGGTTATTTTAATGACAACATTAATAAAACAAAACAAAACAAAACAAAACAAAACAAAACACAAGTAAAATCGGGGATCCTGGGTGGGTCAGTCAGTTAACCACGACTCTTGATTTCAGCTCAGGTCATGATCTCATAATCATGAGATCAAGCCCTATGTGGGGCTGTGTGATGGGTGTGGAAACCTGCTTGGATTTCTCAGTATTCATTTTACAGATAGGAAAACTAAGACCCAGAGAAGTAAGGTGATTAGCATGGTGCTCTACAGCTAATAGTAGAAAGAAATATGACCCCAGGATCATCTAGCTCCAAAATCATCCTCTTTATTTTTCTTCCTTTGGGTCCTTACTTTTTCTTTAAACTGCTTTTTTCCACTAAATCATTGAGTAGCATTATTCGTTTGTAGAACACCTGGGAAATAGTGTTAAAAATACAAATGGAAACATGTTTCAATGTCACTATAATCCAAACGAATGCCAACACTTTGACATTTTTATTTACAATCAGACACTATTCAGTAAATAGAATTTTTAGACTATTTTTTCACTTTTTATATTGTAAACATGAGCCCATGAAATTAAAAATTCTATAAAAACTTCTTTTTAAATATCTATATAATATTCAACATATACAGAGTTCATCAGCCTTCTTCCTTTTGCTGTACATTTAGGCCATCTCTGATTTTTATCCACTATATACAGTACTAGGATTAAACTCCTAGTGTATGAATCAGCTGAATTATTGATGAGTTACTTAAGACTGATTCCCAAATATGAGAATGGGTGTTTTCTATTATTTCACGTTGCTTCTTTTCCAAAATGAACACCTTCCCCACCACTTCCACTACACTACCCAAGAATCTCTCCTTCTGCCTCATTTCTAAACCACTGAGTCAAGTTATTATGTCTATACCCTAGGTTTGGAGAATGCAGTAGAAAAAGCCAGGGATCTGGAATCAGAAAGTCTAGGTTTATGCACCAACTTACTTGTCACTGAAGTGAGGTCTTCAGCCTATGTTTTCTCACCTGGGAAATAGGGCCTTCCTCAAAAGTTTGATGTGATAAACAAATCAGATGAAACATGTGAAAAGCGCTTGGCAAATCATCATGCAATCTGGGAAAGATCTGTTGCTATTACCTTTAGGTGTGTGCCAGATTTAGACAGCTTCAAAGAAAAGAGAATAACTACTCTCTTTTGCTCAATGGCTTTTTCGGTAAATGTAAACTTTTCTTTCAAAGAATGTTGTTTAAAAAAGTGAAAACCCTAGGGAGAAATCACAGTTGCCATATAGAATATTTCCCAAGTCCACCAAGCATTCACATCATCCTGTCGATTTTGAAAGTTTTCGCTCACATGTAAAATTAACAAACCTAAATGACTCCATCCACAGGCACAATAGAGGGCTGCGAACCTAACACCACAAAGTGACAGTGTAGGCCAGTCCTGTGACCTGAGCCTCATCCCACAGCCCTGGGGCATGTCACAACTTTCAGACCAACTCTGATTGGACCAAGCTCTTTACTAGAGGACATTTAAAGATGAAGGAGGAGGATGCTAGGACACCAGCCAGCAGAGAGAGGGAAGGTGATCCAGTTTCTATCAGGATAGAGAAGATCAGGACAGGCAGAGACATGTGAGGCTGGGGATGAGCTCACTGTCAGGTTTGTGAAGAGATAACTGGGCTAACATATTTTCTGTTCAGGCATCACACTGCACAATAAGAGAGAAGGAAAAGTGTCTTTTTATGGTCTAATCAGAGGCAAATATTAGAAATTTAAGGAGTCGACCCAGAAAATTCAAGGGGGCAGTGATAATGAAGTTTGAAGACAAGCATGCAGGTAATGGGAGCCTTGTAGGAGAGGGTCAGCAATACCTGGGTGAGAAGTATCAAGCCAATGGGAAACGAGTGGCAAATGGGAGAGGCGAGGTCTCCGTAAAGCAGGAGGCAAATGGGAAGTGTGGCATGCCCAGAAAAAGTCTCAACGTGTACAGCTGGCAGGAGATCCAGAAGCACAATCAGGACGCTGATCAGTGGCTGGTGATCAATCGCAAGGTCTATGATGTTACTGGCTGGGCCAACAGGCATCCAGGGGGGAGCCGAGTCCTCAACCACTGTGCTGGGGAAGACGCCACGGTAAGGAACTCAAAGCTCTGCCTTCTGTCTTTCCGCTGGCGGGTGGTTGGCTGCGTCTTGGCTCTCTTCCCAAAACCATTTTGAGTATGTGCTCAAACTCCACAATTGCCCATCTCCTCTCAAACCAATTCTTCAGGATTCATATACAGCAAAAATCTGAAAGCAAATTAAGCCTCAAGTTCTAGCTCTTGCTTTGGGATGAGCTCAGATGTTGACAGTGGATACTGTCCTTGAACTTTGGATTTGGTTTTGTTATTGGTGTTTTGTTTTGTTTGATTTTGAGTCATTCTTTCTTTCTTTAGTATAGTTGGCAGACAATGTTACATTAGTTTCAGGTGTACAGTATAGTGATTCAACAACTCTATACATTATGCTGTGCTCACCACAAGTGTGGTTACCATCTGTCAGTGTCTTTTAAGAAGAAAGTTGCAAATAGCTGAGTAAAAGCTAGTTAAAATAATATCTGTTCCAAGCTAGAAATTTCTCAAACTCTTATAAATGGGGTGTGTGAAAGAAAGGCAATAATTCATCTGATAGGCATCAAACTGCTGCAAATGACAATAAGGTAAACCTACAATTAAGGATAGTGCTTTTCTAATCCAAATCACAGAATCAGACTCGGACAATGTGTTGGCAAAGATGCAGGCCTTCAACCAACTTGGAAATAACTATCAAGCTCATTCAGCTTTAGACAGCTGAGCTGATGGATCTGTAGATATTTATGATGTTGATCTCCCAGAGGTTAGGAAAAGAGGATTCAGCATCCAATTCTAGCCAACAAGGAGGAATTAACTAATAAAATAGAAATCATCAGGACTTTAGAAGAAAATACCCATACCTTGTTCGTATTCATATCTTAAGAGGAAGTATCCTAAGCATAGTTAGACGTGTACTTTAGGTAAGTAAATCCAAAATGTTCAGCAAAAAGATTCTTGCGAAGGAAGATGGTTCAAGAGGAATGGGAGGCTCCCGAAGAGTTCTGACAAATGGAAAACCCCATAGCTACTTAGAATTCAGGGAGCTTTGGCTTTCCTGCTGGTTATGTGAATGTGGGAAAGTTGTTGACATACTCGCAGCCTGTTTCATCATTGGCAAAATGGAAATGACTTTACCAATCTAACTGGATTATGGTATATGGGACTAATGCTTGCAAAGTGTTTAGCACAATGCCAAACATTTAATAAAGTTTCATCAAATTTTAACTGTTATGATGTATCTCGCTGGTATCCATAGCCTCAGAGGTGTGATTATTATTTCCTGTTTACCTCCAGCTTAGATATCTTGATTATATTTTTTTTCATCTTATTGTGAACAGAGGGTCCCATGGTGGATAAGCATCATGCTCTCTAGTGAAGGAGGGCAGGACAGAAGGGACCTACAATCAGAAGCTTACTCTACAGCCTAAGAGGTGTTTGCAAGGTGTGCCCTGAAATACAGCTTTGGACCTAAAAAAAGGATAGTCTCTGTGAGCTGGCCTTCAACCCATGGCAGCATCAGCCCAGACGAGAGCACCATTCTTTTATTTGCATGGAAACTCTCCTCCGAGCTTCCACCCTCCTTATAAAAGGTGAATAATGATAGTCTTTCCCACGAGATCATTAATTAACTCATTCATGTAGTCAGCCATTCTAAAACCCTTGTTAAAGGCCCAGCATAATAATTAAGAGTACAGATTTGGGAATGAAAAAGGCACTGCTGTTTCTGAGGTCTCCCACTTACTAAGAATGTCTTGAGGAAGGTGCTGAAGCTCTTCAAGACTTGGCTTTTTTATCTAGAAAGTGGGGATAATAATACTTACATGTTAGTCTTGTGAAAGTCAGTAGTATTGATGGTGTTTGGGACTGATTAGGCACTGAAGAAAATGGCAGATCTTCTGTTTTATTTTCCTTAGTTCTTCTGAGATGGATTCTAATTTCTCCAAAGAAAAGATTCCATAAAACAAAATCGGTACATCAACTCCAGTTATTTCCCATCTGAGTTGTCTGATTGTTTTTAAACTATATGATTTAAAACTAAAGATGCAGTGGTAAAAATTACAGTCTTGGCCCAGTCTTCTAATGTGATGAGAGTTTTTTGGAGAAAAGCCAGAAACAACCTGTAAGTCCAAGAAGAATTGATTATATAGTTATCAATATATCCATTTCATGGGCTGTTTTGCAAGTATTAAATGAAGATGGCAAGGCATTTGAGGACAAGCCATGCATATGAAACAATAATTGGGCACAAGCTTCATGTAAGGCAATAATATGTTCCTGGACGTGAAAGGAATAAATACATGTGCAGCATTTCCAGAAGAAGGAAAGCAAGTTAAGTATCCTGTGTGGTGGTCAACCCACTTTTTATCTCTGGACACCACATTCTACGTAGGACACTGAGAAACTTGAGTTCTTTCTAATGAAGGCCAAAGGTCAATATGACTGGGAAAGGATGACGACCACTTAGAAGAAATATAGAAAAGTCCATCCAGCTATTCAGAGGGGGTACCATGTAAAAGACAGCAGAGCCATGTGCATCTCCCAAAAGATGGTATGGAACCGATGGAGGTAAGGCTAGGGCAGAAGGAAGAGGGGATGTGCACATACGTGGAGTGAAAATCGGATTCACGTTAGGAGTAACGACCCAGCCAGAATGAGCATCCCAACTTATTCACTTTCTTTTTAGGACAATATTGGTATGTAGCAAGTGCTCAATGACTATCATGCCATGGGGAGGAAAGAAAGAAGAGAAAGGAGAGAAAGAAAAGAGAAAAGGGAAGCAGAGGAAGGGTGTTGAAATCTGAGCCATGTCTTCTTCTACTTCTTCCACTACATGTAATGACACTACCCTAGTCAGCATCCCTCTTCACCCCCAATCACCACAACAAAACCAACCTGTATTTCTAAGTATTAGTGAAAGGAAAGTAATAATCAGTAATCATTAGTTGTATCTTCTCTAGGTTGTCAACATTTCTTAAAGAATCTGGTTCTCACTGGAACAATGATTAATGCAGAAAATAGGTGGAGAAGTAGAGTGGGGTGCTGAGGTGCTAACAGGTGAAGATGGGCCATGAGGAAATACCTTCTTTCAGAAAAGCCAGCCTGGCAGCCAAGTAAAGGCTAAACTGAAGAGGAGTCAGCCAAAATTAAGGAGGGAGCCTAGGGAATGTATTGACAGTCTGAACAAGGCATTGACCACAGGAAAGGAACAGAGGGGATGGCTGCAAAGGATGTTTAGATGACACAATTTATAAAATGTGGTGAGTGACTGGTTTAGTAATCAGGGAGAAGCAGTCTGGCTGACTTGTGCATATGTGACATAGGGACTAATGGCTACATCGATGACAGGATAGGGAAGCCAGGAGGATGAGCAGATTTGGGGGGGGGGAGTGTGGAGAGAGAGAGAGAGAGAAAGAGAGAGAGAAACAGAGAAACAGGGTTGTAGCTCCACAGAAATTATTACAGAAAAAAATTTCACTTGGTAGAAGCTTTCAAATAATGAAAGCTCTTGAGCAATAAAATGAGTTGCAACACAAAAGTAACCCTGTTTATTCCTGTGGGTGAAGGGGAATCTGAATAACTTCAAGTGACCATTCTCCATTGCAAAATGGCTTTCTCCCAAGAAAAAGGGTAAGAGGGCATTCCTTATGAACTGACATATTCACAACTCATGCTCTACCCAAAAAATGAGGGGACTAGTTCTAGTCTTTGCCTTGGTTGGAGCACATGAAAAATGAGAAGGGTAAGCATAACAGAAATCACTCGAAGAAGTGAGAATGAGTACGTGGTTGGGTGCTGACTATTCTGGTGAGCTTTTCGAGGGTAAGTAAATCAAAATCCATGTTGTAGTTCTCTTGCTTTGTGACTGTGTGTATATATGTATTTGCCAATGGTGTTTTCTTTCCTGAATTTGGAAAATTTCAACCCACCCCAGACAAACTGAATATAATACAAAGCATACAATCGCTTATTGATTTATTTGATCTTATTTTCAAAGCCTAAACAGTTAGCTAGTATGCTAGATCCTCCATAAGGTTTTAGAATGCCAGAATTAAAAAAAGTCTTAATAGTTATCATCACAAGAAAAAAATTAGTTACTATGTAAAGTGGTTGATGTTAACCAGGCTTATTGTGGTGATTATTTTCCAATGCATACAAATATCAAATCATTCTGTTGCACACCTGAATCCAAATAATGCTACATATCGATTATACTAAATTTCGGATGAGAAAAATACCGAAACCACTAGAGAAGGGACAAGTACACAATTTCATTACAATACAATTTTAAAAGTTCCAGGGGCTACATGCGTCTAGAAGAAATCATAAATAACTTTCCTGAGCTAGAGGGAGACAATATTAATATGAATCTTGAAGGGTGGGGAGAAGTTTTTATAGAGAGAGGATGGAGGAAGGCAGTCAAGACCAAGGAAATAGTATATGAAAAACTTCAGAACAATAGACAGGCATGGAATATTTATGGAATGAGGAGAAGTCAGATTTGGTGGACAAGATGGTTCATGAAGGGTAGTGGCAGTGAAAGGTAAGCCTGGAGAGGTCGGTTGGAGCCAGAAGCAAAGTGATTCAGGGGATTAAGACCTCATGCGGAGAGACGTCATTACTATCTGCCCCGCAGATACATACTGATTTCAGCATCATCCAAACAATCTGGCATCACTGCTCTCCTGAGAGGCCTTTCAGACACAGAATTATATGTGTTAAGGCTGGAATAAACGTTTATAGCTTCGTGGCTTTTAAAATCACATAGCCTTTAGTTCAAATCCCAGCTCTACTATTTACCTATTTACTGTGGCGTTTTGCGTAAGACGTTTCTCTTCTCTGAGACTTGAGATGGACATTTAGTCTCTTTCCATGATTTGGCTATTGTTGAGAGTGCTGCTATGAACATTGGAATACATGTGCCCCTATGCATCAGCACTCCTGTATCCCTCAGGTAAATTCCTAGCAGTGCTATTGGAGGTCCCAGGGGAGTTCTATTGTTAATTTCTGGAGGAGTCTCCACTG